TCCTGCACCCAAACCCCCTGCCCGGAGCCCCCTCATGCACCTAAACTCTCTCCCGGACCCCGCACTCCCTCCTGCACCCCAACTCCCTGTCCCAGCCCGGAGCCCCCTCCTGCACTCAAACTCCCTCCCAGAGTCCACACCTCTCACCCCTTCCCGTATGCCAATCCCCAATCCTGAACCCCCTCATGGAGCCCATGCCCCAACCCTGAGCCCTCTCCAGCACCCAAACTCCTTCCCAGAGCTTGCACCCCCGACCGCTCTTACACCCCAACCTCGTGCCTAAGGCTCAGCCGGAGCCCCGTCCCACACTCTGAAACCCTCAGCCCCAGCCCAGAGCCCACACCCCATCCCCCTGCCCCAGCCCAATGAAAGTGAGTGAGGGTGTGGGAGAGCGAGCGGCAGATGGAGGGGTGGATGGAATGAGCGAGGCAGGGCTTTGGAGAAGGTGCAGGGGGTGGGACAAGGGTGTTTAGGTTTGTGTGATTAGACAGTTGGCAACCCTACCTGGTATCGGTGTTGACTAGTAGGTTTAGTCGTCTGGTTAATAAATGCATGCAAAAATATTTCCAGACTGCTCTGTTCAAAACTTACTTAAAAACATCCTTTTTACTGTAAACCAGGATTATGACTAAAACTTTATCTCTCATTCTTGTAGCCTTTCCTCCCCACATGTTTATACTTGGGAACTAGGCTTTTTTATGCCATTACAGCTCTTAAAATGCTAGCAGCAGCATGGATTATGGCTTAGGGCCTCGAACGGGGCTATATCTTATACTGCAATCCGAGGTGTGACTGCAGCACATGTAGACCTATTAGCTACCTCAGATAACAATAGCAATGAAGCAGCAGCAGCAGGGGCTGTACAAGCCCATCCAGGTCCCTCGATATGTACTCAAGCAGCTTGCCTGTGCTGCCGTGGCTTCACTGCTATTGTGATTTGAGTTAGCTAGATCAAGACTGAGTTCTGTTCCCTGCTTGAAAACTGACTTGTGTGACCTCTGGCCAATCACTTCACCTCTGTGACTCTCTTTTTCCCACCACCCTTTCTCTGTCTGGCCTATTTAAATTGTAGATTCTTTGGGACAGGGACTGTTTGCTATTATGTGCTTGTACCGTGCCTAGCACAATGGGTTTCTAATCTCGGTTGTGGCCTCCGGGCACCGCTGAAATGACACTACTATGATTTTGATCTTATTGAAATCAATGGGAGGTTAGCCCATTTGTAGCCCCCCCCTTCTTTTCCTCTGCACGATCATCGTAGAATTCTCGCAAACCTCTGCTCATTACTACCACCACCTGTCAAGCATTTTTAGACGCTTTGGATGAAGAACATATACATCCAGCTGGATTGAGCAAAATTAATGTTTTCCAGCTGGATTGAAAACCTGGGAGAGCTGAGGTGGAGGTGCGTGGGGGCCTCCCACAAACCCAGGTGCTTTAATAATAGGACAGAGCTGGCTGCCAAACATACAGGCTCCCCTCTAGAGGGAGATTTAGCTTCATGTACACAAGGAGGAAGGCCAGCAGTTGCCAAGCGCGCACAGCCTGGGAAACCAGGAGATTTGAGGAGTATAACAAGTCCTGCACACTTAATTGGTAAGAGGCTGCCGAAAATAAGCTGGGCCTCTCGCATCAAATATATGATAGCCTCCTGTTGACCTCTTAAACCTTCCCCTGGGTCTGCTGCCATCCCAGCTGGCGGCGGAGGTATCTATTGAAGCTGTGTTGTTGCTGTTGTGTGGGTGTTTGCAAATGTGGTCACAAATAGTTATTTCTTAAAAACGTTTTAAGGTGGTTTATATAAAGATAAACCTCCTGAGTCTTCTGTCCGTGTGTGTGTGTGTGTGTGTGTGTGTTTGTGCATGTGTAGGCGTGAATATAGAGCTGGTCAGAGGTGCTCGAGCGGCAGACTGAAGGCCTCTGTTTATCCTCAAAACAGCTAGAGCATGAGAAGAGCCACTGCTGTCCCTCAGTTCTGAAAATAGTTTGGACCCATTCAGTTTTTGGCTTCTTTTCTGAAACTGCCAACAAAGGAGCCTTTTTTGTGTTTGGGTTTTTGGGGATGTGGCCCCTGGGAACTAAAGGGAGACCACCATGCTCATTTCATGTAGGCCACGTCAGGACAGTTTTCTTTTACTAGCAAGTCAGTCAGGATTTGAACTGATGACTTCGAGGTGATATATTTCACCCAGCCCCGGAGCTACGCATTCCTGCCACTCATTTGCTCTTACACTAGAATCTCTTTGGCATCATCATTGTCCACTGTGGTGACTGAATTGCAAATTGTTTAGTGGTTTGGGCAAAGTGGCCGTGGGAGGGGACTTAAAGGGGCATCACCTCAACTCCAGTCTCTAAAGCAATATGTCTGTGCAGCATACAGAGTGCCTGGGGGGGAGGGGAGAGGCTGGAGCAGTGCACTTGAACTGGCTTCATGGCAACTGCTCCAATTCACATCTGGCTTAAAGCCCCTTTTGTACCCTGCTTTGTGAGCCTTGCAGAGCGCTCATCAGCTGCTTGGTCTCTTTGACAAATCAAAACTGATCCCGATCTCTTTTATAAACATCCCTCTTACGTGTTTGTAGACAATTATGTTTCTTTTCAGTCTTCTTTTCCCCAGATGTAATCTCCCCAGTAAAGAACAATACATTATAAATTGTAAAGGAGAAGAGAAAAGGAAAGTAAAAGCCTTTTGTGACTTTGCCTTTCACCCCAGTGTGCGTGGTCGCCTTTCAGCTTTCAACTTTTAAAATGCTCCCTTCCCAGCCATTCAGTTCCATTCATTTCTATTATTCTTTAAATTACAGCCGTGATCACTGTGAATAATTCATGTGTGTGAAGTGATTTGAACGGCCCTGGGGATTAGGAATCTTTGGCTAGTTCCAGAGCTGCTGAAGGGCAAATAGTCCCGCTTGGCAATGAGTATTTTTAACAAAAAATTGCAGTTTTTTATTTATTTTTCCTGTTCTCTCCAAATGGGGTCAGCACAAGACACCCGGGTGCTACTTAAGCCCTCAACATAGAGTTTAAATGGGACTTAATTGGTGCCTAGGCCTCATGCAAGGCCTCTGCCCGGGGGGGTGAATATCATCCTTTAAGATTTCTCCATCACAAAGCTGGATGGCGGTGTGGACTGGGGCAGTGTGGTCCAGAGAATCCTCACCATTAGCAAAGCATGACCTTGCCCTACTTTTCCAGATCTGTGCAGGGCAGTGTGTTTGCTTTGAGTTTTTGGCATTTTATGTTACACTGGAGGTAACTGTCTTTCACCTCTGTCCATTTCCACGATTATCAGCAGAGTCCTAGCCATTTACACTGGCGCAGATGGCTTGGTGCAAACTAAAACAAGATGCCTTTAATTCATATAAAAATAAGTGCCGTGTTAAAGAGGTGCTGACTCAAGGGCCACAAACTAGTTTGGATAAACGTCTGAGTTCCCTGGTGTTTCTACCAACCTTGTAGGTTCGACTGTCTCTATGTGAGGTGTCACCCAATTAATTTAGATTTGGTGGGAATGGTTGAAATGAACAGGGCCGGCTCTGGCTTTTTTGCCGCCCCAGGCAAAAAAGCTGCCGGCCG